CTTCATGCGTGAAGGCTTTCTCTGACCGCTTTACCAATGTATGCAGGTCGGTATTCACCGACCTTTTCTTGCAATAAGAATATTGCGCTCTTGAAAGCATAGTTTCATAATTTTTTTGTTTGAGCAAAATCGGACTAGTGGTTCTCGAGTTATGTCAAAAAAAGACCACCAAAGGTGACAATTTCCACTATATGATAGTTATATATATATCTCGATTCCTAGACGTGACCCAGCGAAACGCCGGGACACGTATAACTTCTTTTTTACCGATATAACTTTCCCCGGTAGTTTGAACCCTTCCCGATCACTGACCCCTACCATTTGTCTCACAGTGTTATTATTATTAACTCTTAAAAAAGTAGCCTATTTTTCAACCTAGCTCATAAGCTATCTGTGTGAAAACTTCCATGCAAATCAGTTCACTCATTTCCGCGTATTAATTTAATGAAACTTTTTTAACAGGTGGCAACTCTTAAGAAAAGTAGCCTATTTTCCAATGTAGGTCATAAGCTATCTGTGTGCAAATTTTCATGCAAATCCATTCAGTCGTTCCCGCATATTAAATAAATGAAACTTTTTTAACAGGTGGCAACTCTTAAAAAAAAATCTTATTAACCAATCTGACCCATAAGCTATCTGCGTACAACATTTCATGCAAATCCGTATAGTCGTTACCGCGTGCTGATTTCCCAAACATCCAAACATGCAAACTTTCACATTTATAATATTTATTAGATTCATGACTTTAACGTAAACCTAGCGACAGATGAAGCAGAACAACAGATTAAATTTCTAAAAGAATAACTAAAGTTAGGAATATATACAAATAGAAATGCTCAAACTACAAGCTCAAAAACAGTAATTGATGCGGTGTTTTCAAGATATTTTAACGCCCTTGAGTCACACGTATATATAAGTGTAATATTTTATCAATCATACAGATAATTTTATGTATTAAAAAAATTAAAATTGAAAATAATTAAAAATGCAACAAAATGTATAAAATTAAGTGAAGTTAATATTTAATTTCTAACCTAACCTACATGTGTATGTAAATATGTAACTGAATCCCTTAATAATATGTTTACATATAAAAAGATTATCCTCATTTTCGCTCTTAACTCCCTTATTTGTAATTAGAAAAAGAGATTAGCCATACAAAATTATAATTATAAAATAATCTTAGATTAAACCGATAAATTTTTGGTGTCCAACAAAGTTTCATCGATTATACTTGCAAAGAAGACGAGGAATGTCAAATGTAAAAGTAAACAAAAAATGACGCTAGCAAGGAAAAGAGGTCTGTAAAGTTATTTTCAATAAAATATTAAGCTAAAATATATTTAAATATCATAATATGTGTAGCAGAAAAAAGTGACCACGGTGGCACAGAGAAAAAGCTTAACTTTTCCTCGAGTTGTGAAAATAACAAGCACAACCATTTTAACAACTAACGAGCTTTTATCGAGTTCATATTTATATATAAACGTACTTTTAAGCTTTGCCGTACGCATATGTTTACACATCAAATATCATGAGTACCTAGTACTCACGCCTTTTTTTTCAATAAAATTTTAATTGTTCTCTTGATAATTGCACTGGCCTATATTCAAAAGATATAAAGGAACAGCATTAATATTGCTTGGGTACATTTATTTAGGGCGCTTGTTCCAAATATTCTAATCTTTTTTTAATATTAACTATAGTTTGCAAATTTAGGAACAATTTCGGTAGCTCTAAAATAGAAAAACCACTATTTTCCATCACCGTGAAAAATTTTGTTTATGGAAATGAGTATGGAAACACTGAACAAGCACAACTTCTAGAAACACTAACTAGTTATAGGAAGTTAACAGCAATTTATTTGTATTGAACATTTTCCGTGTTTTTAAATATATTCTTTATAATCTGAACGATTTTCATCATAAATCAGTAAAAGTAAGTCTCGCCTTCAATTTAGTAATTATTACGTACGGATCGAGAAATATTTACCAAAGTTATGTCGAAAAACTAAGGTAGATCTCTAGTTTTTTCTATAAAAATGTCTCTCCAATTGTATAAATAACTTTTAAATAAAAGAACTGGATTACAGAAAAGTGTGCGACTTTTTTCGTTCAAGCTGAATGCAAAGTAATATCGTCCAATTGGAGAGCCCTCAAAAGAATTTCCCAGGATATGTTAAAGACTTTTGCATTTACCTACAGTTACTTCTTCACGTAATGGAATTAACTAAAATATTTATATCTAAACTATGGATGATATCCAAATAAAAAACGAAGATAAAAGTGGATATCGTGCCAATATCTTCCTTATACCATAATACAAATATTTAAAGGTAGTCTCACTTCTTCTTATTCGCCATTGCTTCCCATTTGATGTAAACTGTGCTTTTGACATTTTCTTTCAAATCGAAGCTACCATATTCTTTGAAGAAATTAAAAATTAGTTTTTTACTTAAAGCAAAAAAAAATATTTCAAAAATTACACTGGTTTACAGCAAAAATGTTCAATGTATGCCACTATCCAATTCCTATAAAGAATTGCTCGCTGATTCCGAAAATCGACTTAATTTTTTATTCTATGGATAAGTTTTCGAGATATTTTCAATTTTCCGTTATTCAGCTTAAAACAAAAAGTGGTTACACTTAATCCCGTATATCTTACGAACCAATTCAACAATCTTAATACGAAATACGGCAAATGAAAGCTAACAAAATTCTACATATACTGTATATACATAGGTCTGATAGCTTATGTCAAATTAATTAATCATTCCAGATTTCTTGTTTTTTTTTATGAAAATATGAAAAAAACACTTTAACAGAAGAAAAGTTAAAAAAATAACAGGTTCTGTGTGTAATGTTTGCCTTTATTTTACTAATGAAGAAAATTGATAGATAAATAAAGAAGTACTGAGTGGTCAAACGAAAATGCGAAAATTGTTTGTATGAAATATGAGCATAAAAACGTGCTACTTAGGTGTACATGGCGTATGAGTAACATTATTTCCTGCTCATTTCTCATACAAAAAAATCTTCATTTGACCACTCATTACGTCTTTATTAACCGACTTCAAAAAAGGAAGAGGTTATCAATTCGTCGGAATATATATTTTTTTTATGTATGCTACCGCATAACTTTGGACCACGTCAACCGATTTCGAAAATTCTTTTTGCATCGGAAGGGTAGTGTCTCAGAGGTGGTCCCATTCTAATCTGGTTTAACGGTACTCCTAAATTTTTATATGAGAACT